ACCTTTCTGCCTTTTGTCTTTAATAGTATCTCTAATACTATTTCAGCTTAAACTGTCAAAACCTGGTTGCTCATGGGTTTTTTCCCCCCTACAAAGTATTGCTGCTTTGCCCCTGCTGTAGCCTCAGTGGAGGTAATTGAATGCATACATTTAATATGACTCAGCGGTGAGTCCATGATACTTTATGCAGGACTTGTATATACGTCTGTTACCAGCTGGAGAGTTTTCTTTGGTGGCAGAGAAAATTATGAAAGTCCATACAGAATGCAAGGTGTTCTAATAATTCATCTGTAGGCTGGATGTCTTCTACCCCCTGGTGATTTGCTTCAAAGCCATTTCCCAACATCATTTAATTTCTTCCTGGTAAAGATCTCACATTGGGAAGGTTTATTATAATTTATGGCAAGATTTCCCATTCCTACTGACTTCAAAACTCAAACTTCTCTCTCCTCGTGGACTGTGATAACCGAACACTGGTCCATTCTGTTAGAGAGTTTCTGCTGCATCCTAGTGCAAGTTCTTTTTCAAGCTAATATTGGTCTTAATGGGTCTTAACAGCAAGCTGTTTAGCTTGAAGGGCCCTTGTTGACAAAATTATAACCATCTAGGCATTTTGATTGTTTTGGTTTACTTGACCTGGCATGGGATGTGGGAACCTACAGTCCTAAATGGTCAAATGGCTTACTTTGCTTTTGTTGTGAGCATGACTTGTAAAACCTGTAGTCCAGGAGCCATTCAAACATGTTTTGCCATCCAGGTTCTCTCTTGCTCTATGTAGCAATGTGGACAGAACTTGTGTCATTAGCACCTTTCCCCACCTACTTCAAGGAGTGCAGATGGCGGACCTTGGCCAAACTGCCTACAAACAGAAGGCGTCTGCTGCCTCATTTACCTTCTGATTAGGCATCTTGATCCCTGACTCTGGTCCCTAAATCTGTGAGATTAATTAACCAGAAGCAGGTGGCTGAGAAAGCTATCTTCCTAAACCTGGAAAGCCTGAGACTTTATCATCTGGTAAGAGCATAGTACACTCACATCTGCGTATACTGTCTAAATAAATCTCTCTATTTTGAGGCCTGAGCTGGTAATTAGCAGGCCTCATCCCTCAGTACTTCTGGAATAAAAAGGAGGATCACAAGCTTCTCAAAGTGAAGATCAGTGTATGTAATTTCTTAAATTAAAAGTTTGCTTTAAAAATCCCTTTGGGAAAAAGATGTTCAGTCTTGAGGCTGAACTAAATTCTTTGTGCTTTACAGAAGCCTAATTTTGAGACTGCAATTGTGTTCCTTTAAAAATCTTGAACAGTAGGTCTGTATTTGGCTGGTAGGTCAGTGAGCTGACAGCACGTGCCAACCCGTCCTTCTCCTCTCTTCCACTAGGGAAGTATGTTCTATAATGTTCCTTTTCTTTTTTTCCTTTAACAAACCTCATAGTGAATTCTGCCCAATCAAAATGTTCAGTCTTGGATCCCTTCCAAGTAATGAAACCCCACTGTTTGTTAGAAACACACTTTCAAATAATCTTATTTGCGGTGCTCTTTACCACCGCTACCTGTGACTGTTTTGCAATTTGTTAGTGACACATTTTTTGTTTAGCTTTTTACTACCAACTAGTAAACACTTCTCAAATCCATTCATCATTGCCTAATTCCAGGGGCTCAAGTAACTCCTGCCATTTTGTGGGATGTCTCTGAATTATCGTTACACTTTTTAAGACAATTGTTAATATAATAAAAAGATTGAGAATTTTAAGGTGGATAAGTAAAGTTTTCCACCAAAACCTGATTCTAGCATTCTGTTATAAATTATTTTTTACCCTTGTCACCAAGATCACGCTAAAGTATCTGAATTGTCACATTGTCAGCTCTCATTGTGAACACTCTTGGTTTTTTTCTTTTTAAGAATTTAAAATTTAAATTGAACAAAGGCTTTTTTTAGGTTAAAAAATAGTCTGTTCTTTCTCAAAAATATAAGTAAAGCTCTTTTCCTACATTTTATTTTCAAAAAAGTTTGACCTAATACTTCAAAATATCTTTTGTCTTTTTCCAAATGACCTTTTAGGGAATCTTTTGGGAGCCAACATGAATATAGGTAGGGCTGAAATATTTAAGCAGCTTTTCAAATATTTAGCCAGTGTCAAGTAGATATGCATAATCAATGCATGCTTTATAAAGCAGGCAGGGTCCAAATGGTACTTTTGAAATGGTGCATTGGCCCAATAAGTGCTTTGCAAAGCTGACTATGACCAGATGTATCCAAAATGGTCCAAATATAAGTGTTCATTATTAGAGGAATTTCAAGGAGCACACTGTGTGGACAGGTAGTTTTAGGTGGAAGGTACAGAAAAGGAGAAGTATGAGGGATAAAACATCTAGTAAGGGAGTGGGAGACAAGAAGTCACATAAGAGGCTGTCTGGAAAACACTGGGTTATATCCCTGCCAGGCCCTTGGGATCTCCTGTCACTGAACAAATCTGAAACATTCTGAAAACTGAAGTACACTCCTTGGCAAAAACATTTATGGATAGTTAGTTAGTGCTGAAATAAAGCATTTGAGCCCAAAAGAATTAAGAGATTGTGGTTTTTCTCAGAAGCAAATATTAAGTAGAACCTTACCTTGCAATTTTCAGCTTTACAGACACCCAAATTGCTTCAAAATATACAAATATACTAATGCAGATGGAGACTAAGCAGATTCTTTAACTCTTTTCTCAGTCTGGCAAACTGGGATACATTTTTTCCAAGACTTGTCTAAACTCTTGATTATTTTATATGTTGCCATTATTGTTGATTATCCAAATATTTGTGTATAATTAGAATTGGCTACCTGCTACCAGATTAGGTCTATCAAAATTCAGTCTTTGTAACTTCATATCACAGTTATGAAACTGATTGGGACCTCATTAAATCAATTTAGCAAGAAATAAATGACACGAAAAGCACAGTGGGAAATTCTTCAGACATGGGCATTTTGACATGATAAAATAGGAGACAAAAGAAAACCATATTTGTCAGAGTTTGTCAAAAACAAAACCTTATTTTATGATGAAAATTGTCATTGAAACTGATATTTTGACAAAAAATGATTACGTTCTAGCCCCTTCACATTCTTCAGTCATTAAATTAGAATTTCAACAATATCTGGATGTTTTTGCAAAAAATAGTGCTTGTTCATGCTATGTGACTAATAGCATACCTTCAGGGTCTGTAGAAGTATTAGTTGTGGTTATATAAATTTGAATTAATTTTCTTGACATCACTATTGGAAGGAAGTTTTAATGAAACTTTTTTGTAAAAGTTTGTCCCTTTGACATAGAAAAACTTGAATTCTTTCAGTCTGATCTAGTTACCACAACTCAATCTTCATATATATATCCTCAGGAGCCAATTATAGTGGGTCATGCACAGTTGAGCGATGGAGTCAGACCACTGCATCATGTTTCTCACACTGACTCATTGTGTAACCTATATTGCAGCCCAGGGGTGGCAGCTGCATCACACATGCCACAGGTGACATGGGCAGCCTGTGTGACACGTAGCAGATTGGGAAGGGGACAGGGACAGGTAGCACAGCACCAGATAGGATAGGAAGCAGACAACAAAGCAACAGACTGGGCAGGTAGCAGAAAGCAGAACTGTTGTTTGGGAAAGGGAAGGGGACTGGAGTATTACTTGGAGAGGGTCCTGCACTAATTTGTGGCCTGCCTGCCAAAAGGATTTGTCCCCACTGTTGTAATCAATGTGTTAACCAGTAAAATAGGATTAGCAGCCTATCTGTCTTCATAGAATGTTGTAAGGATTAAGCAAATAATGGTTTTGAAGTGCTTTGAGATCTTCAGAGGGTAGATATTTTTCAATAAAAGCACTAGGTATTATTTTTTCTACAGTATGTACTACTCTTTGCAACTTGTCTCTGTGGACCCAAGCTGGTGAAGCCTTGTTTCATTTAAGTCAATGGGAGTTTAGCCCCAGGCTTTAAAATGGCCAGGGTTTCATCCTTGGAATCTGAAGTTTCAAGTTTTTTAAAAATGATAAATGTTTTATTTTCTTTTTTTTTCATAGGTTGGAGATATTGTGATGGTAAAAGAAGATGAAACGTTCCCATGTGACTTAATATTTCTATCAAGTAGTCGAGGGGATGGAACATGTTTTGTTACAACTGCTAGTTTGGATGGTGAATCTAGTCATAAAGTAATAAAATACTATATATTTTCTTTTTAAAATAGAAGTGGTCCCTGGTTTTTGGCATTGAGTACAGTAACATCCTGCATATCTATATAAAAAGGATACAGATTTCTATAGGTTAATAAGGATTCTTTAGCATTACGTTATTTTTTGAAGTGTTCAAACTAGTGCTTGCTTATATCCAGAGATCCAGGTTTTCTGTTTCCCATGGAAAAATGGAGAAGAATGCAGATTTTTCCTTTTACCCAAGAAAAATGCGGATTTTTTATTTTAGCAGAGACATGTGGATTTTGCTCTCTTGAAAAGTTCTCTGCAGGCTGGCAGAGTCTGAGCCCACAGCAGGTAGTCCACATCCATCCCTGCCCCTACCCCGCATGCAGATCTAGGGGCATTCCCCTACCCTGCTGGGAGTGTGCACAGCAGTGGGGAGCTGGCTCCACCCCCTGCCTAAGCCTGTAGCAGGCAGCCTGCACTCACCTCCCCTGCCACAGGCTCCACTCCAGCTGTGAAATCTGTGGGGTAAGCTGAGTCAGGCTCCCCACTTGGGCTGCAGCAGCCAAGGCTCGAGCACTGCTGCAGGGGATGGGAGTTTGTGGCGAGGGGGTGAGGGACACCAGCAGGGCTGGGGTGCTGTGGCTTGGGAGTGAGGGGCCTGGACCTGTCTTCGTGAGTGAAAGGGACAGAGGGAGCTCTTATTTTCCATGATAAGACACACAAATCAAATACCAAAATTTATAGTTATTTAGAATTTATTTTATTATAGTGATTGAGGCACTAGTAGG